CATGTTATTTTTTTTCCCCGTATTTTGCTCGAAAAATTAACTTCTGATTACTATGTGAATAAAATGACTTTATGATTTAGAAAAGTACGTTTTAGTAGAATTGGGAATTTTCTCTTGGATACATGTGGCCACAACCAGGTATTGGCTCATGTGGCGTTAGGAAAAGCATTACATGGTAAGTGTATATATGAATACGTCTTTTTCAAGATAAAGGGTGCAGGGTTTCATTTCTGATAAAATCCTGAGGTCCCTTCCCTGATTTCTGTAGTGATTTCTTGAATCCTAGCCAAAATAAAATGTTGAATTATATATATTCATATGTAGAGAAATATCCTAGCTCTTTTAGCCTTGCAAATAATTATCCACATTTATATATCTATATATTGATGTCTAGATATAGATACTGATATGTGTGTATGTGTATATATATATACATGTATATAGTACATATGCATATGTTTGTGAGTGTATACATTGTCAACATTCAATTCAAGTTGATACACAATTCAAAAGCAAACAGGAGTGTATACATTGGGATCATAACTTGATATTAAAGAAATTCTGGAATGTTCTGTCATTGTGTTCTGGAAAGTTTCTGGACTACCTTGCCTGGACTGCTTCTCCTTGTCAATGCATGACTCTCTACTATCATCAATGTAAGCTCAGGGAATACAAATTCATTTATTACTAGCCAAAGAAAAAACATAATTAGGAAAGTTAAAAATGTATAATTCATTCCTAAAATAAAAGAGAAATGACTTTTGGTAATTTTCTGCTTTGCATTATATGTCCTACTGTTTCCCCTCCATTAGAGTGGATAATTGGTATTTAACCAGACTCACGTATACTTTAACAGCCTTCTCTCCCAGTATGGATACGGTATGGATAAAATCTATCATCTGTATATTAGTGCTTTTTAAAATAAAATATTCACCCAGGTATTTAATTGTCATTCATACAGAGTCAGTAGTTATTTGCAAAGCTGAAGTTTTAGATGCATTCTAGAGAAAGGGGAAGGGTTTCTCATTGGTTTCTATTGCACAGTATTTATAAAGACGCAGATCGATAATCTACCCTATTTTACTCTCCCCCCCCAACACGTGTGCAGGCACAGGCACAAAACATGCATGTGTCTAATATCGACATCTGGGTAGCATTGCTGCCTAGAACGGCTGCTGCTCTCCACCACCCAGGTGGCTGCGTTTCAGTGGTGGGTTAGTGGCCCTCACCATGCATTCTGTAGAGCTCTTTGGCCTCCTTCTAAATGAAAGGTGCTACATAAATAATACAGGATATTGTCATTATTATATCACAACACTGCAGATCATTGCCCTAAAAGGCACAAAAGGAGTAGCATGGACCTCTACACACACATACACACACACACACACACACACACACACACATGCACTCACACACGTGTGCACAATAACCCTTTTCTCCCTTTCCTTCATGTGCCCCTCTTAGAACTAATGTGTTGGGAAGATTCCCCGGAAGACCAACTTTGCCAGGTTCTACCAGGCTCTAGAAGCTGGCCAGTCCTCAGCCAGTTGCCAAATTCCCTTCAATCTGCCTATTCGAGATTGTCTCCCGACAAAGCCCAAACCCTTGTCTTGGCCTACCGCATCACTCAGCCTTTTTTGTGCTTAATGATTCTTAACCAGCCATTCAAGTTCCTGACTTTCTCTGCCTCCCCATCTTGCCCGGTTTGCTGGCACGGAATGCGGAGAAAACATGCCTTCCACTTAAGGAGCCCAGCCAGGGATGGAGGAAGAGAAAAGGCTGAAGTTGATACACAATTCAAAAGCAAACAGGAGGGAAAACAGAACTTTTCTTATAAGGCCAAAGAAAACATCAGTGAAGGAAACTGAAATGAGTTGGCCTGCAAAATGGGGCCACTGAAGCCACTTGGACACCGAGCACAAAACAAGCTGCGTGCAGAGAGCGGAGGAAGAGCAAGCATGTTTTGGCAGCCTGTGAGTTCTCAGTGGCAGAAATAAGAACTTGTACATATGGGGGTGGGCAGGGGAGGGGTGGGGGGAAAAACACCCAACCCTAATAAACTAATCTCAGCTAATGTAGTGTTTATCAAGTTCCTTGGATAATGATACCATGTGTGTCATTATCATCATCAAAACCCAATCTATGTTTTAAAAAGTTACAGATGATTAACACAACATCAAGTTGATGCAAACAATTACTTAAAACCCACACACAGACACAGACACGCACACACACACACACACACACACACATACACAGAGAACCAGGAGGTCCCCATATTCTCTAGAATGAAGGAGGCTGCAGCTGTAGGCCGACAGCTTTCATATCCTCATTTGAATAATGTGTCCTGAATCTGTCACTTTATTCATTCTCCTTATGCTCAGTGTACTCCACATCAACAACAAATTAAGTTGTAAATAAGAGACAATCATCACTTTTGTTTTTAAGCAGCTACTGCATAGAGAATTTCAATGTACGCTCCTTTTCGGCAGGGGGAAAAAGAGGTGCTAGAGTTTGCTTTCATAAGCACAAATATGGGGAAACCAACAGAAACAAAAACAGAAACAGTTTACTGTCGCTGAAGGGAGAGAGAGAGAGAAAAAATTCTCTAACGCACATCCATCCATTACAAGCCAAAATTTCTTCCAAGAAGCTACTCAAACATATGAAGACCAAGGCTAAGTTTTCCGGACTATATTAGAAACTCATGTGACTTATTAATACCAGGCCTTCAGTCTTAATACACGAGTGGCATCTTTGCTTAACACACCTTCAGACAAAAAGACAAGTGCATTAAATCAATTACAACACAGGTGTATGAATAAACGGATTCCGCATTCATCACCATTAACTTCCCGGAGTTCAAATCACTACCACCATGTGCACAGAAAATGAAGAAATTAATAATAAAAAATGTCCCTACCTTGACGTCGGAGAAGTAGGTCTTCAACATATTGGAGCTGGGATAACGGGTATAAAAAAACATGAGCTTTGCTTTTTTCAAATGATTGGGTGACAATCCTTCCTGCATGTAGGATGCAATTGGTTAAGGAAAAAAAAAATCCTGTAAGCACAAGAACGACCACCTCCCCAATTCTGCCCCACCTCCAGAGGGTCTGGAGGCCCACCAAGCAGTTGTTGGGGACATGAGAAGGTATGTACAGGGCACTGACTATGGAACCCAAGCGTCAGTGGGCGTTGGAACTCCAAGCGCCCACTGCCTGCTAGAGATTGCCAAACGTGATGGTGAGCATGCACAATGGAGCTGGCTACTTCGTGGTGAGGGTGGCAAAACACTCCCTTTGTTTTAAGCCGGTAGGCTATGTATACCTTCACTTGTTGCTAAGGAGACAAATGCACCCAGCGTGTACTGCACAACTCTTGTCATGAGAGTTTTATTTTTCTTCTTCGCAATTACAGTTCTGTTTGTTCTTCTCCCTACACTCTGCAGTTTACATCAAATTATTATACTAATGTACATGAAAATATAAAATGCATTATTTTGAACACTGTTATGCAAGTTTCACGTTTTACCTTTTAGTGCTAATCTAATGGAGCATCTTGACTCACTTTCTTCTTATCGTATTATGGTCCTTTTAATTGTTTCCTTTTAAATAATAGCTAAAACTCGGGAGGGGTAGTTTTGGCACAGAGAGAACAGGGAGAAGGGGGTGGGGGGCTGTCGCTTTTGTTAAAGCAACGGTCCAAAACCAAATACGATTTGCCTGTCCTGGATTTATAGTTAACTCCTTTGAGAGTGACACAGTAGTTGGGGCTAACAAATCAATAAATGTGGGTTAGCAGATCAATAAATGGCCATTTACCCCAAATAAGAAGGCCTATTTATCTGGAAACATCATTACCTTTTAGATCTGTAAACAGCAGCAACTAAAACAGTTCCCAAGAGGACGTGAAGCTAACCATAACAATCCAAGCTTCCTGATTCTCCCCCAGATTCTTGGCACTCCTCAGCAGACTCAGAGCTGGGATGGCTCTGGTCACATCTGTGCCGCAGCCTGGCCCTGCCATTTCCTCAGCAAATTAATGGCTTTATAATTTATCAGAAATGAAGATGCACGTGGAGAAAATCAATGTGGTCCCCCACAAGGTCAATTAAGGGTCCTTCCTAGAAGCTTCTCTAAGGATTTTCTCTTCAAAAAGAGTCTGGGAAAAAATAAGGGGGGGGGGGGGGAGAAAAAAAAAGAAAAGAAAATGTGCACGTGTGCACAAACACACGCACAAACCCTTAACTGCCCAACAAAAATGTCACACCTGACCAAGAAAGGTAAAATAAACACCGACATTTTTAAAAAGGTAAAGGTTTCCAAATGACCTTCACCGAGCACAGCATGACTAATCTCAAGGATGGAAGGAAACCAGAAAGTTACTAGAGAAGTGTAATCGAATTAATATTGATAAGCTCTTGACTCCTTATAATGGGGCATTTAACCAAATACTCGGCTGACAATTTGTTCAATGAACATTCCGCTTAATATCCCATTCCATTTTAAAAAGATCACCTTGGTTTGTAAATAGAAAAGTTAAGAATTGTGTTGTTGTTTTTACTGAAAATAAACACTGAAGAAAGAAATTTTTGATTTTCTATCTGTAAGCCCAAGCAGCTTAACTGAACTTGTGTTTTTGTTTGAGATCCTTAATGATCACAAAGACGATAATTTATGACTGACATACTTCTTGTGCCAAGGAAAGAGCTGAAAGGCCCTCCAGTAACCTCCATTAGACAACAGAGAAGCCTAAAGGGGCAGTGCACTTCAGGACCATCTGTCCAAATGGATAAGTGAAATAATAGTTGCAAGCTGTCCCCTATCGCCTTGAGTTTTAGGCAGGTCCCAACTTCGACAAACATTCTCAGATCTGAGTTCTAATCTTTTCTTTCAGACGGCGGCGACATTAATAAAACCACCTCGTCCCTTTCATTATAAGTCCCAAATCTGTTAATATTTTGGTCTCATACAAAATACCAATTGTTCTTGCTGTATTTCTCAGATAAGCCTAGAGCTACCAAAACTTCCTGAAGCCTTTGATACGTCTAAATCATGTTAAGATATTTTAGTGCTTCTTCTTCTTTTTTTTTTTTTTCAAATAAACTATCCATTTTATTTAATCAGGATTTAGAGGCTTTTTATTTAATGAAAAATTATTCTAATTCATATTTCTCGAGTCCGTTTTTGCTTTAAAAATGTTTCCTGTTGGTAATACTTGGAATTGATCAGGCGAAATGGAACACAGAATTAATCTTTATCTCCTGCCCATTGTGTAATTAAGATAAAATTCCCATAAAATATATGTTTCTAATAAACTATTAAAAATAGCTAATGAAATATTTAAAAGCCAACAGTTAGATAATCCTTTTTTCCTCCTCAAAAATAAATCTGAACTGACCAATTGGTTAATTTCCCTTTTAAGTGCTTGTGCTGAAAAGCAACTGTTCTTCCAAGAAAGCACTAGCTGTTTCCAGGATACTTACACACGCACAATGACTCATGATGGAATAGATTCAGTAAACATACAGCTGTACTGAACACGAGCTAAGCTCCATTCAAGGCCAGGAAAGAAAATGAGCACAAATAAATATTAAGGAGGTAAAGGGGGGGTGGGGTGAGGGGGGATGGAACGCAAACAAGATCTGTCCCGGCAGTCCATGTGGCTTTGCCTCAATTCTCTTAGCCATAGCTTTGTGAAGACAGATGACATTCAATTCTATGTATAATGCAAAATAGACAATAACTGCTGAAACTTGAGACAGCTGCCAGGTGTAAAAAAAAAAAAAAACGCAAAAGAAAAAGAAAAAAAAAAGAAAAGATGATAAATCCATAAATTAATGAAAGACATCTGCTCGGGAATATAAAAGATCAGAGAAGCGGGGTACTGCAGCTGAACCTAAGCAGTGTTCAAACAACCTGAGAATCTAAGTGTTGTCTGTTTACCAAGCATGATATAACCTTACCTAAACAGCAGCCGTGGGAGGAGCCACGGAGGCAGCAAAAAGGCAAATGGGAGAATAATAGGAGGTGAAGGCTGGAGAAGAAAATTCTTTTCTTCCAACTGAACTCTGGGTTGTGGCTAGAGATTTTACACGCTGCAGTTCCAAGCACAAGGAGACACTGCTTACTTTTTCTAAGACACTTGAAACCTAAAGAGTTTTAGTTTCTTAGTCTCTGATCTGCTGTATTTCAAAGAGGTTTCTCCCCCCCCTACAAACTTACAATGGGGAGAAAAGATCTAAACTCATTCACATAATGATAGTGACAGAGTAAGTTGTTAGTTCACTAAGAAGTTGAACATAATCACAGGGACTTGCAGTGTATGGAAATCTTTTTTTTTTTTTTAATTTCCTTATTTGATAATCTTTTCCGGGATGGGAGGGAGTTAGGAGCCCAGACTCTTTCAGTCTTCATATGTTTCAGTCTAGCTAATATAATTGCTATAGCCACACAAGAATTCTAAAAGATCAACTTCTGTGGATTGTTTTACATTTTAGAAATGCATTTTTAATCCATGTTTTCCGGTTGGATTTTAATTTCAAATTACTAAACAATTTTCCTTTCTAAGCTTCAAGTCTTTTAAACATTTCAGTAGAAGTCGAGAAGGGAGAGACGACTGTCACAAAGAACAGGCTCAATTTCTTCACCTGCACGTCTTAACGGCTTATAATACTACTGTTGTGCTTTAATTGGGTACATGCAAATATTTGAGGCCTAAACAAGGCTATTTTTCTTGAGATGCAAAGAGGATGAATGACAAGGAACACCATGAAGAAAAGCAATTGGCTGGCTGTTTCTTTGGGAATTTGAATAAAACTTAATATTTGATTAAATAGATTCATTTGCAAAGATACTGGGAACATTTTTTATATCCAAGACATGAGTGAACCCTTGGAGCAGGTGCACTGACATTCAGTTTGGCATGCAGACATTCACTATTTCCTTTCCACTAGAAGGAATAATGCAGTAGTGTGTTCTATCCTATAGAACATATGTGTTTAATGTGCTGAACTTAGAATGGATTTATCTGATAAGCTTGTGTCCTTAATAGTTCAGTTTTTTATCTTGGCTACTTTGTTCAAAAATCCAGATGATACCCTTTGGAGGAGGAAAGGATTGTTCCTTAAGAATTAAATGATTTGTAATGATTTGGAAAGGCATGAACTAAAAATAAAAAGAAACATAATCATGGCAATCACAGTGGCACCATTTCATCCCATTCCTATTCATTTCTATGGATCTTTTCAAGCAATAACTGTGCATATGGTTCTGTATCCCTAAAACTAAAGTAATTGCTCACTGTGATTCCCAGAGATTTCTTCCAGAAAAAATCTTGAGGATATTGCCTGTACACCATCAGGCGAATCAAGGGAAGAACTGATTGCCATACCGAGATAGAGACAGGAGAAAAGTGCACCCAACCTCCCCACAAACATTCAGTGTGAACTACAGAAAAAGTTGTTTGCCTATCTTCTTTTCCCCAGAAATAACATATCAATGAGATAAATGGTTAAAAGTGCAATGTGTTAGAGGGGAAAGAGGTAGGACCAGACCATAGAAGGCCAAAAGGTGGAAAATGTGGCCATTAATTACAAGTGGCCAAAATTATTTATCTATATGAAAAAAAATAACTCCAGGTGTAAGCAGCTAATATTTCATATGAACTTGGTGTTTTTCAACTGTCACTGTCCTACAGAATCTTGTATTGGTTGGTAGGAGACAGGAGAAGTTATTCCTCTGAAGAAGAAGAAGTAACTGTATTTTCTTTAAAGGCTTTGATATATATAGAAATAAAAGAAACTTCTTTCAATTCAAATCCTCAAAATTCTTCAGGGGATTTAGAAAGGGTGAGACAATGAACATTGCCAACACCTAAAGCAATCTAAAAGACTTTTTTTCCTAGAAGACCAAACTTACTTAAAAAAAAAGAGATAGCCATAATTATAATTAACTGGTTATAATCAAAAATATAATTAAAAAAAACATAAACTGGCATCTTGAGCTGAAGAGTTTAGTATGGATTTAAAGAACTTTGAAACCTGGCTTCAAATGTTCACCCAAATGGGCATGCATGTTGCTTCACTTTGTGTGTGTGTATGTGTTTGGGAAGAGGAGGGGAGAGAGAGAGAGAGAGAAACAACCCACTATCACTACTTGTTTCAAAAAGAAGTTAAGGCATCTCCGAGGTACAACAGTTCTTATCTCTAAACGTAGGCCTGACATGAACCTCCAAACATGCTTTTGTTAAAAGGGTAAAAAAACCATTCAGGTCATTGTGTCTTCTTACTTTGCCTTTCTCATCACCAACATCTATATTCCAGTCCTTTTGACCAATATTTATTACTTGCTTATAATGTGTGAGGCATGGTGCTGTGTGCAGCTTTGATTCATGACTGTCGATTGAATTTTAGATCTTTGAAATGCAGAAGTTAAATCAACCACCCAGCCAGTTCTCAATTTCCATTTACATATCTACATCTCCAAAATCTTTCTCTTACAACCTCCTGCTCTTCTTCCTCACTATAGAAAGAGACTCCATGTTTAATTGCCCAAGTTAGACTTCGTGCTTGTGGCTCCAGTTCGCCTCATCAGAAATCTTCACTACTATCCAGAGAGCTGGCTGGGAGTTCGACCTCCACTAACTGGGAAAACACATTTCCACCATAGCTGGGACTTTTGAGCTTACGTGGCAGCCTCTGGAGTGGGCTTAGATACGAAAATGTCAATCTCTAGTCATCAAGACAATTGCTCAAAACCCTCAATTTAGCAACAGCCAACTTAATTGCTAAATTTTATATCCATCTGGTAATTTATTATATAAGAAACATGCCTCCACCTGCCCCCAAATGCTACTATTCTACTACCCCAAAAGACCAACAACTACAAGATTTTTACAAAATTTACTGAAAAGACCAAATGTACAGAGAGAAAAAAAAAATCATCAGTTTAAAAATAGCTGGAGTTCAGAATGGGTCTAATAAAAAACATAACTGGCATCTCTACACAAAAGTCAGGTTCAGAATTGAAAAGAGTCATAAAAAGATAGCCATTTTTTAAGTCGAATACAGCTGAGTTTTATGTTTAATTGTGCTCTCTCGCTTTCTAAAATAATTTGCTTTGTATATGTTAGGACAAAAGATTTCTGTGTATGGCTGAACAGAGGTTAATCATGCATAGAAGCAGCTGCACCAGGCCCAAAGAACAGACCTTGGGTGAACCAGAGAGAGACCGATTCTGTCTGAATAAATCAGTACCTGTATATTTCCTTAAAAAAAAGTCTCACTTTAAGAGAGAATCTAACTTCCTATACACATCCGTTTTTCTCCCACCTCAGCTTCCATATATAAAGTGCTCTACGAAAGATTTCATTAGGGCCTTGTTTAATTGGACCAGGAGCCTTGCTGATGCTTGAAAGTAAGAATCCTTGTTATGGGATCTTAGGGATATGAAAACTGACTTTTCTCTTTATTTCATGATAAAACTTACCATCTTTAAAAAAAAAATCTGATAATTCAATCGATATTTACAATGAGATTTTTTTTTCCATCTCTGAATCTACTGTTTAAACACACACACACACACACACACACACACACACACACACACACACACACAGAGGAAGATAATAGAGGAAAAACAAAAAACGAAACCCCAAACAAACAAAAAAAACCCCACCACTGCTGTGCCCACCAAAGCACATATTAAATATCAGGCCCCTTGAGGCAGTGAACAACTCGTGAAAGTTGCAAAGATGTTGGTTTAGTTTTAAGCTTTTTCTGCAATCAGGAATGCCACAGGCATGCTGATAAAAGTCTATCCTAATCAATGATAGGAAAGATTGAACTCTTAAGAACACGCTAATCTACGTTATTCTAGATATTGTGTAAACCTAACCTCGTGGGAAACCTCTCTTTTGTTTTTTGTTTGGTTCCTTCCTGGAGGGGAAAAATCAAAGGATATTGCACTTCCCGAATAAGGTGAGATTTCGGACATGTCTTGAAGGTCGCCGCACTCGGACTTTATGAGCGACAAGGAGAGCCCTTCGGCGGTGCTGGGCGGGTGTGCTGGTGAACAAGGGTGGTGGCTCAGGTGGTGAGATGACATCTTGGTCCTCAGACTCGTCGTGTCCCTAGTTAAGTCTAAGGATTCGGGAGAGGCCCTGTCTTTCCCAGAGAAGGAGCCGGAGGGAGCACCTAGGGGACTCTGAAACGGGTAGGCCATCAGGGGCAGGGGGAAGGGGTGGCGGAAGGTGGACGTGGTGAAGCCTGCGGTGGCGGACAGAGGCGACTGGTGCAGGGGCTGGTGGTGGCTGCCGGCGGCGGGGCCGGAGGCCGACTGGTCCGAGGAGTTCTTGCGGACCACCAGGGGCAGCGCTTCCGTCTGGTCGGCGGAGCTGGGCATCTGCACGTTGCCGAAGGTGTCCAGGGGGTTGGGGATGATGACGTCGCCGAAGCACTGCAGGCGCTGGTTGGCCGTGTGGAAATTGTGGTTCTCCCCGTTGACTGCGAACCTGGCCTGGGGGATCTGGAGGGGCGGGAAGACCTGAGGGACCTGGCGGGAGGGCTTGGCCGCGAAGACCTTGACCACGGTGTCCACCACCTGGGACATGGCGGTGTTCAGCTCCTGCTTCAGGGTCTCGGCCAGGTGCTTGCCTTCCGGCTGCAAGGGGTTGGGCCCGTGCTCGCGCTCTTTGTGGCCGCCCTCGCGCTTGGGCTTGTTCTCGGCCATCTCCTGCTCCCGGATGAGCGCGCGCGCGCGGTCGATGAACTGCCCCGGGTCCAGCTCGCACAGCTCGGTGTCCGACCTCCCCACCGAGTCCCGGGCCCTGGCCTCCAGCACCTCCGAGCGCATGCTGTCTTCGGACAGGTTGCCGTCTTCGTCATTCTCCGAGTCGGTGCTGTCATAGATTTGGTAGAACTTCTCCTGCAGCTGGCGCAGCTGTTTCTGCATGTCCTCCAGCTGCTGCTTCAGCTGCCTGCGCTCCTCCCGCTTCTGCTCCTTCCGGGCCGAGACCAGCTGCTGGAAGCTCTGCTGCTGCTGCTGCGGCAGCTTCTGCTTGCGCTTGTTCTCTCTGTAACTTTCTCGGGGGCTCACAGACTGCGGGGCCATCTCTCTTTCGTTTTCATTGCCCCTTAACGCCACGCTGGGGGAATGGCTCATCCCCCGAATTATATTCTCCACCCGGGCGCGCTTCGCTCTCAGGTGCTCGTCGCATAAGCGATCCATATCAAACTGGCTCATAGTAGGCCTGCCAAAAGGGGAAAGACACTCTGGGGGGCTGTCTCTTGAAGAGTTGCTGCATATATCCTCCTGATGTACTTCGGAGCCCGTGCTGGAGAGACCGCTGGCTTGGAAACTGGGCTCCGTGCCACCATTTTTGTTCATGTTATTTTTCAACAGCTGGGAAATTATGGTTGCTCCTGGAAAAGGCATCATGGCATCTTCATACGAGTTCGCCCTCTTCAGCAGCTTGCGGAGTACATTTGACTTTTCCCCATCTGCATGCTGCACCACTGAATACTCAACATCCTGCTCAGAACCTTGGGGATTCATGGCACTAAAAAACGTTGCTCTTGCCTTAGCAAAAAATGCAGATGCTGTCCCTACCGTCCTTTTCACTCCAATGTCAACTCTTCTCCTCTTGGTTTGCCGGCTTAAGAGGGCTGTGCTGTCATGGTCAGGCATCACTGGACGGTTATTGTGCCATCTTCAAAAGCTCGTCAGCTGGGCACAGCTCAAGAATCCCGGGACCCTGGCCAACAGAACAAAAGGACTGATGAATCATTTTCTTTAAATTTCTCCAAATTTCCTGACCTCAATCCTGAATCAAATGCAAAATGCATAGGCTCTGGGATTTATGGCACATTACAATTATTGCAATTTATTATGCACTCTGCTTGAAATGAAACATTTTTAAATATTTCTGCTCCACTGGTTTAAGATGGATTAAGATTAAAAAAAAAAAAAAAAGCAAAAACTGCTTAAGCACCAGTAATATGATTCTCTTTCACAAATGCCTAAAATGATACTGTTTATCTTCAGAAGAAACAGTAGATTATAAGAACACAGCCTCTGACAACCAATTGATTAAATTTTGGGCATTGAGATTCACATTGTAAAAGAAGATGAAAGTGGTCTATACTTAAGAAATAAGGTTACATTTTGAGGCTGTGTGAAATTTGGATGAAAAATTCCATTTCTGCATTAAAATTATTGTGGTTTTAATGTTATTAAAAGAAAAAGACTCTAAAATAAATGCAAATATTTAACACACACCCTTTATTACTGAATTTTAAAATATTTTTGTCATATATAAAATGGGAAGAACACACCAATCAGCATCTTCCAAACATAAATAGTTGATTTATCATTGAAATAGATGCACAAATACTCATTTTACAAGTCTGCTTATTTAGTATAGTTATGAATTTTATTAGTGAAATCATATATGAAAATGTTATCTGTTGCTATATCTTAATATAACTATAAGAACATTTATAAATTTTCACAATGTCCTTCTGATGACTTAAATTATTATAAAGTTGGATTCACTGCAAAAGAAGGATGTTATCACATTTTAGAAATCAATATGTGGAACAATGGATTATTGAACTAGGCAGGGATAAATATAACTCCAGGATTCGTTTTCTTCTGTTAAAAATCTGCCAAAATAATACTTCAAATGCCCAAAGAAACTCTTTAAAATACACCATTTGTGAATCTTATTTCCTATGCCAAATTAAAGAAAAAAAAAATAAAGAGACTCAGACAAGATAAATAAGAAAGAAAATAACATCAATCAAAAATGTGATAAAAGGAAATACCTTCTTTGTATATGAACTTCCATTGTTTCTTGGGAACACAATATAAAAGAAGAACATCCTTCCTTGCATTTTATAAAAGACATTGGACATACTGTGTGACTTATTAACTAAGTGATACTAACGCCCAATTTTGTACAGATATAAGATGTCACATCTTTTTGTTTACAATTCACATTTTATGAAGAAAATAAAAATAATTTTTTTCATGTCAGGTTTATCTAATATTAAACTTCACATTTGCTTAACAGAGCACATCTTCACAATAACAGGGTCTATTGCCAAAGGCAGCGTGCAGAGTGTTTGGAACAGCTCCCATCTCTTTCGGTTCACCTGTAAAAACATCTACGTGCTCCCTAGGACTGCATCTGTGGCTAGTTTTAAAGAATGACTATCCATGCAAATAGGCATAATTTCAGCATGAAATAACCTGTAAAAATCAAGAAAATGCTCAATGCTCACATGGCAACAATATGTATTTTTTTTTTAAGTGACAAAGATTTCATCATACAGTCTTTGCTCCCAGTTTCTATATGAAGATAAAACATTTTAAAAGAACTGGCTTTAGGGTATCATGAAAGCAAGATGATGCATATATATATATATATATATATATATAATTTTTTTTGGTATGCTTGAGGTTGAAATACTTTTTGTATGCTTCAGGATAAAATTTCCTGAACTTGGAATGGAGACACAGATCTCAATAATGTCAATATTAGGCTCAAAATTGAATTCAGAATGATTGCGACCCCCTCACACACTGATAATAAAATTGGTTTCAGGAATACGAAAATGCAGTGACGAATATTACGCTAATACACTAGGATCTGATAAATCAGGTTAGCTGTCAGGTGCAAGAAAGAACAAGGAGAGATTGAGAGGAACAAGCAGAAGGATTAATCATTCCAAAGCTCTATCAATCACAGAAACGCTTGCATATAAGGGGAGAGAGTGGGTTACAAGGAAGACTTTTTGTTTGCATATCAGCTTTCCAAAAATTGAGTTCTTTGCCATCATTTTTAAATTTTGCCTCTTTTCTTTTTGTGTGCAAATCCTTTTCTCTTTAATGTCAGGTGCAAAGCACACAGATCTCCAATTAAAATGTTGGGCAAACTTTCTGCAGTATTTTTTCTTCCCCTGTTAACCTTAACACTCAAACAGGACTTTCCTCCTGCCATCCTGGCTTGCTCTGGGAAGAACACCTCTGCAACAGAGGCTCAGAAAGCACACACTGGTGTAGCTGATGAGTACAAGGTCATCCCCAGGCATCCTTCCTTTTCCAACTGCCATTTACCTCTGCGTCAACTGCATTTCCTCTCATCTAGCCTAGGTATCAACAGCTGCATCCCTGCCTCACGCTGGAGCCAAGAGGAGGGCTGTGCTCTTCCTAAGGTGGAAAGAAATGATACTTTCATCTTCAGTGGAGAGTAAGTGTTAATTAAACAGGCCTGTGGGGTCTGTTAAGAACAAGATATCTTATAACTCCCTCTGTATTCACCGAACTGAATTGATTTTTGCAGTTCTCTTCCAATCAGTCAACATTTTGAGATTAAATGATTTGTTTTCTCTTTGGGGCTAAAATAATGTAAATACTTTTAGATCTTGTAAAATGTCTGGCTGAAACATAACAAAGAGGACAAGACAAGTGGGAAAAACAAGAAAAAGTATAGAATCCAGAAAAACAAGGCATTATAGTAATAGGCACAAATAAGTAAATTTCTCCGTGTAGCTTAGACCTACATTTAAGAAATAAAGGTAGAGTGGTAACACACATTGGGAACATAAGCCAGGGAGACTATAGGCAAGATTAAATAATAATAACTGGTTGACACAGTACTTTATTAGCATCATGTCTCACAAACAAGATATGTATACTGCAGAAATATATATGAATATATTTCCCACATAAGAAAATGTACTGCTACATGACCATGATCTAGATTAAATCGCTTGAAAACATTTTCCAAGTGCTTACATGATTTTGTAATTCAGAATTTAAAAGATGCTATGGAATGACTTTATCATCAATATTGTCCTGTCCATTAGGAATTTTAAAAACTCTTTTATTTCCCAACATAGGCATTAAGCCATAATGTTTCAGCTACAATTATTATTGATTCTTTTTATATTTTCATTTTAACATTAATTTTGAGTCTAATCAGGCAATATGAAGCCTTTTGATCAGCCTTGGTGACCATCAATATCAATAAGGAGACAGAAAAATACTGATGTAGAATCTGAACCCAAATGTACTATTAATCAGATACACATACTCTGTTTCTATAAACTCCTCTTTAATTAATGCAAAAGTCTATATAGAATTTTTTATTATTAAATATTTTGTTGGCACCAATTGGCATATAAACTACACAAATGCTTTAATAATTCCTATACAATGCATATCTTAACATAGCAGATTCCTCCTAGAGAAAGATATTACATGGACAAACACTCAGGTATAATAAAATCAGATTTTAACTACTCCAAAGGATTCTTCATTAAAATCTGAATTATCTGACGTTCTATTTAACATGGAAAGTCCTGAGGAAACTGATGACTTAAGGTCAGTAGAAAGGACTTTTCAGCTGAGAATTTTAAAGTAACACTTCAATATACAGTAGAAAGTGGTTAAGTGGTCCATTTTAATAAAGAAGTTATTTTGGGGAAGGGGATGCAACTTTTACTGCATCTATCTGGACATTCCGGACAAAGAAGTGTTTCATTATGGTAATTATACAGATAGTTCAGACAAATCTTTTATGAGACAGGCAGAGTGTAAGGTTGGCATGGTTTCCTGTTTGGATTATTTAGATGATCTATCTTTGTTGGGCTATCTTTATTCGAAGAAGTTGCTCAAGCCTACATTTGACTTATCTTAGAAAAATCTTCCTTGAATGGGCCTCTAACCTACTTGGGTCAACCTGGTTATGAGATTTCAATTGGAATATCATTAACCAGGAATATTTCAAATCAATCTGGAAATCAGCACTTTTTTTAAAGAGAAAAAAATCAGATGGTTTGGTAACCCCCAAATCAATAGACTATATACCTCACTGTATTCAAGAGTTCATTTCTGCTAATTATCAACTTTTCCTTCAGAGATATTTCTGTTTACTGTCAGGTTAGGAAAGCCTTTTACGCTATGTTGAAGAACTCACAGGACATAGGTTAATACTTCAATTAACTAAGATTGTATTGTTTGTTAGGTTTTAAAATTTCATGTCACAATAGAATTCTCAAATTGTTTAAGATTTCATTTAAGATCATTCCATCCTACGAAAAATTCCATACATTTTTTACCTGCAAAATGAACACAGAATATTTTCTGAGACATGCCTAAAATACTAATTTCTACTTATTTAAAAAGTAATAATCCACCAAATTGGTAAATAAAAGAGATCAAGAAATCATCTTAAGAAAATACACTTACACTCTTCTCTTTTTGCAGAAAATTGAAATACTCTCAATGTCCTTTGAGAATGCACTAGGCAATAAGGTTTGAAAAATTCCTTACGTATACATCCTTTCCAATATATACACGTACTTAGTTAAAATCCTCTAATAATACGTCATGCATAATCCATTTTTATATTATAACAAGTACCATTTTTTCATTTCTTTAGTTAATCTTGAATCTAAAAATTCTTATATTAATATTGCAAATTTGAGACAATCCTTGAGATGATATAAAATGAATTCATTTTAAAAGGCCTATTTGAGTTTTAAAGCAAATAAAGAGGAGGTCTGGCAACTTAGAGAATAAGAATCTCCGGTTTTAAGATTGCATGTGCTGCTTATAGAGGGACAATGCTAAGAAACGAATAAAGTGAGAACAAAGATGTATGTTATGTGTGCATGACTTTTTTGCCCCCCACAAGGTGGTGATTAAACTAAATAGAATTCTGCATAATGGACACATACAATATCAATAAGTGCCAAGCACAGATAACCCCTATTAAAAATAAAGCAAATGAACATAGCCATAGGATGACATTTCAGTTACCAAGGAACTTCAAAAGCATCCAAGGAAAGTACTGGGGGGAACTTTGCTATTAAGTATAAAGAATAAATGACACATAGTATCTCATTTTCATGGACACAATGACAACCACTCAAACAACAAAACCAACCAACAAAAACCATTCACCATCTAACCTACTCCTGTGCAAGTCAGTTTAAAGCAATCCATTTAAAGAAAATTTTCAAAGGCCAAGTTTTAAGAAGCCAGATACAGTGCTTACATCGAATTCCCAACATCTTCCCTTACACATCGAGCCACAGTCCTTAACTTCTTCTATTTTACGATTCTATAAACATGTCCGTGTCGCAGACCACAGACAGGTTAACAGGAATACTCTTCCTTCCTCACCGCACACAGCCCATTTCGTTTTGAAAATACGCAGAAGTTCTTGCAAGAAACTCTTCGTAGAACTGACTGCCCTCATCTTGCATCAGATAGGAAAGCAGTTACCTTCTCTCGTACTTGAGATTTTCCTTCTCCATCGAAGTCATACCTAGGACATTTGGCACCTGTCTGGTACAATGACAGGCTCATTCTACTTGATGAAAGTATTTAACATATGACTTGAGAGAGTTTCTGCACGTACCTATTCCTTCTGAGCAAGGAGAAAGCGTGCTGGAAAGAGAAGCTTTCACAACGCTAACACTTTCAAACTGACTTTGGTATTCTTGGCAGTTACACATCACCCGTGGCTGTCCAGAGCAACACACACACACACACACACACACACACACACACACACACACACACAAAGGACAGCTCTCTCGCTCGCTCTCTCTCTCTCTCTTTCTCCCTATCTTTGCCAAGCAGAGACCTGGGAGACAGGCATAAACTGGAGGGAAGCAAAGGGAAAATCAGTCTCCCTCCACCTGCTGCCTGAAGTGGGAGTGCTTTGGGCTGGCTGGCAGACAGAAGCCTGGGACAGGGCCTCAGGAGCATCCTGCCAACATCCTTAAGAAAAAAATAAACAAACACATACCAACTTGTCCCCCACCCCCACCCCCAAAGAACTCACATGGCAGGGCTCAAAACACAACAACAGCCCGATTCCCATTAGCTCAGACAATCCTATTAACCAGGACAGCCATAAATTCATAAACCTCTACAACCCTCGAGCAAGCACTGCGGTCTGGAACTGTACAGACACACGCAGACACAGAGGAAATTTGCACCTGTCTTTCTTGACACAACACACCTGTCAGGCCCTGCCCATGCGCACTCTAATAGACTTCTGCCTACCTAGTTTAGGAAAGGAAATGATTTTTTTTTATATATATAAGGGAGAGCATGGGTGGAAAAGGAGATAGAGAGAGACAGAGGAAACAAGAGGAGAGATTCTTCTAGCCTTGACTTTGAGAGGAGGCCACCCTGTGCTTGCTCTGTTTTTATAAGCTCAAGGAGACAACACAGACCTTCTTGGAAAAATAAAAACAAGCAGGTGAGTTCCCAGCCTTCCCCCAGGCGGAGTAGGGCTCTGGGTTGCCAAGAACAGCAGTTTCACACTCCAACCTGCCTCCTTGGGCTATTTAAAACTATCGCCCGACCCCTCCTCCCAGCTCTGCCCTCTGTCTGCCTGGAGAGCCCTCAACTTCCCAAGAAGCTGGGAAGGGCCCAGAGAGCTGGGAGCCTGTGGAAAGCTGCTGCCCCCTTTACGACCCCCATCACTCTCCCCACCAACGTGCAGTTTTAGCAGGAGGAGAAACCGGCGGCCACACGAGAAGAACGGACAACTTGCTAAACTGGACTTTGGGTGATGTCTGCCCCCCTACTCCACCGAGTCCCCCTCCTGGTCTGCTCAGGCAGGAAAGATACGGTAGCGGCTCTTCCCCCCCCCCCTCTATCTCCTCCTCCTCCTTCTCCTCTTCCTTCTAGGCAGGAAAGATACGGTAGCGGCTCTTCCCCCCCTTCCCGCCCTCCTCGCTTGCTCGCCTTCCCAGTAACAATTACTCTCACCTCTCCTCTCCTCCCTCCTCAGTCCTTCGAACTGGGGCGAAACGGTGGGTACCACCCAGGCAAGACCAAACCGAAGCTGCCCAGCACCGCCGGCGACGGCTGGGGGATTCCTCGCCACCCGTGTCCGCTACCCCTACCCCCACCCGGAGCGCGACCCTCGGGTCCTCGCGACGCTGGGGCCCCGATCCCTGCACCGCGCTAGCCCCCGAGGCCCCCGGTGCCCCCTTACCCGACTCCACCGGCCCCAGCCCTGGGTCCCCGAGCTCAGGAGAGGGGCGCCGCGCTCCGTTCGCGGGACCCATCACTCCGCCACCGCGCCAACCCCGATTTCAACATTTCAGCCTCGACAGCGTTTGGAGCGGAAAGTAATAGAGCGCCCCCCATCCTCTGCTCCCCACTCCCGGCCCTGCGCTGGGGTTAAAAAAGGAGAAGTGAAAGGTATGCAAATGGCAAGCAAATTGGAAGAGCCGGGGAAGAAAGGCAGCTATAATAAACAAGACAAAGAGAAAGGACGGGAGACTAGCCCCGGAGTTTGAACCCGGGGGAGAAGGGGAGGACGAGGGGCTCGGCGGAAAGCGGGCACCTAGAGGAACAAAAAGCGACCCGGTGCCCCTCGCGGTCCTGCCTCCCGAGAAGAGAGGGCAAGAGAAAGAAGGAAAGGAAGCAAGCGCCTCCTCGGACCCCAGAAACAGTACACAAAAGGTGACAAGATCAGCGACAAGTCCGGCAGCATCAGCCTTCCCCCCGTCGCCAACACCACCCCCGGCCACCAGCAGGAAAGAGAAAGAAATAAAAGCCAAGCGGATCACTTACTCTCAGCAACTGCCTGGGAGGAGCGCTGAGTTCCACCGAGGCTCCCGCTCAGAAACTGTTTAGAGGGCTATTTTATTAGGATTCATTTAAATAGCACCATTTTTCTCCTGGAAAAAAAAAAATGTTTACACGGCTGTGAGTCATGGGAGGCTCTTTTCTCTCCTTCTCATTCAAGAACAAGCCAGTGCAAGTGGTTCTGGAAAAGGGGAGGGACCGGCGAGGGGGAGAAGGTACTTACGCGGTGCGGAGAGCAGTGGGGACCGAGCCTCTCCTCTCTCTTTTTTTTTTTTTTTTTTGCCGGCAGAGAGAGGGAAGAAAACACGCGCGCGCACACACGGTGGTATCTTGCGGGTGATGACTGTGATAATTGGACGAGGGACGGTGAGTCCGTGCGCGAGCGAGCGGGAGAGGGAGAGGGAGAGGGAGAGAGAGGAGGGCGGGGAGGGGACGGCAGAGGAGAGGAGAGAAGGGGCGAGAAGGGGCGAGGAGAGGAGAGGAGGAACCGAGCAGAGGAGCGGAGCGCGGGAGCGGAGGGGAGCGGAGGAGAGGAGCGAGGCGGAGCGCGGGGGAGCCGGCGGGCCCGGCGACAGCTCTTTTGCGCCGCTCCGCTCGCCCCGGCTGCAATGGTGTAGGATTTCCGAGCGCTCCCTCGGCTGAGGGCTCCGCTCCACAACAAGATTTACTTTAAGACACAGCTGAAGGAAACAGGAAGACTGCACGTCACAGTCTGACTGACGTACCCGGCCCCGGCACCCAATCGCAATCGAGAGGCGCCTTCGGATTCAAGGGGGGATAGCAAGGCAAGAGAACTTGGGAGGAAAAAAAATATAAAAGGGGTGGGGGTGAGGGGCTGGGAGGAGAGGAGGGGAGAGGGGCCCCCGCGCTCCCCCGCCCGGGCCTCCATCCCCGGCCCCCACCCCCACCCCGGCGCTGCCACCGCTTCGGGGCGACTGGATCGCCCGCCGGCCGGAGCGAGCCATCTGCGGGCACCATGCAAAGCGGGAGACGGCGCGAGCGGCGCCCGGCTCGCGCTCGCTCCTCCAGGGCCGCAGGTCCTCTTTTTTTTTTTTTTTTTTCTCCTTTTTTCCTTTCCCAGATCCAGCTGATTGATCGAGTTCGCCGAGTGGCCGAGCGAGTGAGCGCTCCTCGGACTTGGGTGGAGGAAGGCACGGAAAAGTATCTGGGAGGAAAAGTGGGGGTTTTAGGAGTGGGGGCGGTGTAGGAGGAGGGAGTGAGGGATCTGCAGATCGTTCCACTTTTAAAACGACCCTGGGTAGTAGTATCAAGAATACATGTCACCTTTGCTTCCTTTTAAAGGGGAGGTGGGCAGCAAAATACAGGTAGGTTTGGTACTAAAATAATAGGTGCCAGAGGTTTCACACTGGGTCCGCTGCATCTGCTATCAGAAGATCAACACTGGCTGAGTCCCGGTCAATCTCCAGCCGAAATTATTAGGAAGATGACTATTTACCCTTGGTTTATCTCTACCAACATTATTTGGATGGCAGGTACATCAGCCTTTAAGAAAATATGTTACAAACATTATCTCGCGATTACCCCCTCGATAACTCACTCACCCCAGAATGGCCAAGGAAAGCGGTTCAGGATTTACACAGTTTTGACGCCTGGGTGACAAAACTTTAAAGTTTATTAGGGAAGAAATTTCAAACGCTTAAATCCCAGGCTCCAACGTCAAGCCGTAGAGAATTCACTTTGGTTTGCCATGTCTTGGATGAAAAATAACCAGCAAGATTTCTTTAGATAATGTGGCTCTTAAGAGCTCCTTGGGCTTTGCAAGTTACAAATGCTAAAGAGCGAGTCTCTGCAGCCGCAGCTAGAGCGTCCCTTCTCCCCCCCCCACCCCTGCACAGTAAACGGCTTTTAATAAAGCAGACGCGTTTATGACTTAAAGATCCTATAAAAGCTAGGACTGGCAGGAGCTGCGAAGCAGAAACGTCCATACATAGTCGATTAAACACTCATTTTTTAGGTGGGACGAGGACAAGTAGTTTTTCGTGTGCCACTCAAATTTAATCAGATCAAAGGTTGGATCATGCTGTGTCGTGACAACAGGGTATTTATGAGATGTGTTACAAGCACACTGGCCAGACACTACCACCATCTTCTGGGACACACACACACACACACACACACACACACACGAACACTCCTTTCTAGGAAATTTACACTTTCAGCCTGAAATTTACCAAACTGTAAAGAGGATATTAAGTCTTCTCTCTGAGTAAGAATAGCGATGTTAGCATGTCCGCGTCTATACTCTGTAGGAAACTTTTGACATGGAATTCAAACATTGAAAGGAAGAAAAAAATTAGGCCGGCCAGGTTAGGTGTCGGCGATAAGAAAAGAGACTTTTGCGTGAGCACGCCCCAGCCTTCTTTTCGCCCCCTTTGGCCGCCCCCAGACACCCCCCCTTATTATGAAAACAACGCAGATGAGCACAGTCGCACCTCCAACGATCGACCATTGTATCAAGTGTTCTAGTCGGGATGTGACAATTTAGGCTGGGGACAGAAGTAATCTACCAACATGCCCATTAGACACAGGATGGAATACTGCTTCTATTGGTTGGGTCCCTTCGAGGTAAGCGGGTGTATGGAGCGGGGAAATTTGGGGTCTGAAAATGGACCAAAGCTTCTTCCTTTCTTCTTTTTCGTCCTAGTATTTTTCTTTAAGCATCTTAGCTTAGTACATATAAGTTAGCGCCAGCCTACAGATAAACAGGTAGGAGTAAAGGATATATACCCTCCACACCTTAAAACCATCTGCTCAGTTTGACATTTAAAAGAGAGGAGAGCAGAGGAGGAGGAGAATGTGGGGGGGGGGTTAGAAAGGAGGCTGGAACAGAGAAAAGGATTCAGACTCAGGAGAGAAATGGCTTGAACTTTAGTCCACAAGTTTGTGACCATTGCATTCATTCGGCGCTCGGATGCACGTTTTGCACACACCACGCCCGGAACTGGCGGCGGGAAAAGTTCCCTGCGAACCCCAGTAGGTCCTTTCTCACGCCGGGGGAAGGCAGGCCCGAGTCGAAGTCGAGCTAACCCGCTTGGCAAACAAGGAAGCTCCCCCACCCCCAGCCTCAGTGGCAGAGGCTCTCGGCTGGCGACGCTTTGCCGCCGCTGTTCGCCGCCCGCATTAGGGCGCAGGAGCGGCTCGTTGCAATAGGAGCGCGCGCGACGCTGGGCGAGCGAGCTCGGTTCCTAGCGCCGCTCGGTGAGCTGCCTACGTGGAGCCCTGTCCTGTCCCTACTGTCGGGGCGACGCACAGGCCAGGCTCCTGGCAACCTCTCCTGCCAGAGCCGCGGCGCTCTCCCGGGTGTCCGGCGGCCCCGGAGCAAGGAATGAGGCCTGAGCCCCTATCTCGGGCGACTCCCGGTTTGTTTTCTGATAGGGGAGAAGCCATCAGTCAGCCTGGAGACGACAAGTCGCCTGGATGTTGGCTCCATCTCTGAAACAAGCGCCCGAGCCTGGAGTCAAGGCAAACCTTCCTTCTCCCCCACTGCCAGCACAACCCCAATAACTTAAAAAGTTAACCGCAAGTTCTGATCGGTCTCCCATCCCTATCTGCAGGTTGCATTTACTTATTTATCTGAAGGGTGATCTGCGTGTTCTTAGTCAAACTTTTGTTATCACTCACGCGTCTGGTTCTGGGTTAAATACACTTCGCCTTGACATTTCCTTGGTGTATTTTCCCCCTCCTGTTCTTCCTTCGAGCCGTTAGGTGGGGGGGGGGGTTTAGGAGGGAAGACTGTGCATACGAGTAATTTAAAACCTTACAAACAACCATTATCAGATCCTAAACAAACCAATTCTGGGAATTTCAACCAGATCCAGTCGAGAGGCAAACGTGGGCGTGGATTTGGGAGAAGGATATCCAAGAACCTTCGTGGTCACCTACCCACGCACCCACCCACCCACTCACCCAGCACCACTACCACCACCGTCACCACCCAGAAGGAAGGAAGAGAGAAAAACCAGCCCCAGGGCGCAGGCCGGCCTGCTGCAGGCTGTTTAGAGGCAGACTGACTGACGGCCTCTCTCTCACTCTCAGCCCCTGTGCCCAGTGTGACGCCAAGCCCAACCTGGATTTGTTCTGAATGTGGGGGAAGTGAAATGCCACAAGATCAGTAGCAAGCGGCAGCTGCAGCGTTTTCTCTCCTGGGAACCCCACTGCTTAGAAGCCTCCCGAGTGATGTTTGTTTAACCAACAGCTTTCAAAGTAAACAGAGGCCAATCACTCCAAAGAAGTTGAAATATAACCCTTACAAGAATTTGGATCCAGGGGTGCTGGCAGAAAAAAAATTTTTTTTTTAAATAATAAAGCCCCGCCCCAAATAAGAGTCCCCTACATAGCTTAAAGGAGCGCACAGAATTGTCATAAAAATATAAATCCATCGAAAGGACTTATTACAATAAGGTGACCTCGAAGAAAATCACTCTTCGCCCACAAACACACACCCGCGGGGATGAGGGGGTTGTCGGTGACCGTAGGGGCGCGCTGCTACTTGATTTCATGGAAGTGGGCAAAAGCGATCAAAGGAAGGTACATTCCCTGCCCTGGAGTAGAAAGAGTAGGCTGGGAGCTCTTCGCCGCCAGCCCTGGCTTTGCCTCAGGCTCCGAACTTTCCAATATCAAGATATTAACAGATGGCGGTGAGCACATGGAGGGCTGCTGCTTACATAATCCAGCCGCTCCGCCCGGCGCGCAGAGCCCGCGAGGCGCCCGCCAGGCCGCGCGCACCTTCCGCGGGGTGCTGCCGCTCCCCGAACTAACCTGCCCCCCTCCCACCCCACCCGGCGCTTGGAGGGCTAGGATTTGGAGAGGCATTGATTTCAGGGGGGGGAAAACACCCTTCGATCTGGTTGTACTTTATCTCCTTCAATGCACAGCAGTGAAGAAGCCGGAGACCCAAAGGCAGAGAGAAGTGGAGAGGACGCCTTGGGGAAGGACGGGGGGCTCCTCCTCCGTAATTGGGGGGGGGTGCTCAAAAGTGGAATTTGCACTATTTACACGCCCCTCCCCGACCACCACTTTGGCTCAGATCAGCACAGCGTTCGCTGTCACTAAAGTACAAAGGCAGTGTTGGGCCGCAGCCCAGGGGGAGTCGGGTGGGGTGAGGGTGAGTGTGCGGGGACGCGTTTGCACGCGGGGGCGCAGCGGGCAAAGTTACGCAAAGCCGCTGGGCACCGCTCCTCTGCCCGAGCCGTTGCAGGTTTTTAAGCGCTCATTCCCGCTCTCGAGCCGTCCCTCTCGGCTGCGTGGCCGCCTGCCGCCTTCCCGCCCTCACCCACCTCTCGAGAGCCCGGGTTCCCCCAAGAGTGCCCGGGTGCCCCCGCGTGTGCCGCGGCATGCGTGTTTGC